CATTAGATATATCTTGACAAGCTTTACAAAAGTTTCTTAAGCAAGAAAGATGATTAACTTAGTATAAAAAAAAGTTTACCTTGGACGATCGCCACATTCACACTATAGTAAATTTATATAGTAATCTGAGTCACATTTTATTAAGATCATGCTTCTGCTGAGTGGCAAATCTTCTATTAAAGAACTATTATGGAACCAAAGAACTAGACCAGGACTATAAATACTATAATAATAGTTCTTTTAGGACAACTAGGCATACTGGACTGATGCATTCTTAATACAAAGTAACTTTTAAATTCATACAAAAGGATAATGTAATTTAGATTAATTAAAGCTATACATATTGATGAAATTATTTTAGATTAAGGCCTGAAATGAAATTTGTAAACAAAATTGATTTGAATCTATTTTACTAAAAAGATAAAATTTTTTTGATACTTTTTTTAAATAGATGAAATTATAAAAAATATAAATATAAAATTTTAAATACTCTTTCTTATAAAAAATTTCAATTTGCTTTAATGAAGATGAAATAGGCCTTTTTCAAAAATCTATTTCAGTAGCATCTATAATTAAAGCACAATATCTCATGATTCAGTAATCTAATTTGATGATTTTGGTACTATTTGAATTACCTTAATAAGAGGATTCAAATAGTATCAAAATCATTCAAATTAGACCATTAGATTACGAGATATTGCAATTTAAGTAATATAAATTACATTGTTCTTTTATACAAATTTGAAAGTCATTTTGTACAAATTTAAAAATCATCTTAATTTAAAATCACTTTGTACAAATTTAAAAGTCACTTTGTACAAATTTGGTGTCAAAAGGAATACTTTGTAGTTGTCAAGAAATCTTTACTTAAAAGTTTAAGAAAAAATTTAACATGGCTCTTATTTTGAATTTTTTAAAACTTTGAGCAAAGATATCTAAACAACCAACAAGCCAAATTTGATAAACTTTTTTTTATTTGAATTCTAATAATCAATAGTCAATAAAATTCAAATAAAAAAAGGTTATTGAATTTGGCTTGATGGTTGTTGAGATATCTTTGCTCAAAGTTTAAAAAAAAGTTTGACACAACTCTTATTTTGATAGACGTTTTGAATTTTTAAACCTTGTATGAAAATATCTCAACAACCAACAAGCCAAATTCGATAAGCTTTTTATTTGAATTCTACGAATCTGTAGAATTCGAATAAAAAATAGTTAATTGAATTTGACTTGGTGATTGTCAAAAAGTCTTTGCTCAAAGTTTAAAAAAAAGCTTGGCACAACTCTTATTTTGGTAAATTTTTTAAATTTTTTTAAAACTTTGAGCAAAGATATCATCTTGACAATCACCGAGCCAAATTTGAATTTTTTTTTTTTAATATGAATTCTAAGATCAAATAAAAAAAGGTTTATCGAATCTGGCTTGGTAGTTGTCAAGATATCCTCTCTCAAATTTCAAAAAAATTTGATACTGTATATTGAATAACCGAAAGAACCTAATACCGACAAATTTAGCCGGCATTAGTTATAATGTTGGCCAATTTATTCGGGATTTTGTGGTAGAACCATGTAGAATGAACTGCCGATTTTTTATGACACCACTATGCTACTATATATTGCTTACTTTTTGATAGGAAGTGGATGCTTGGGAGGTGGTGAGATGAATAGAGTTATTAAATTTTCTTTTTTTAATTTGGTTATTTTTGTAAGCTGTTGCTAGCTCATCTTGTCTAGAGTTCTGTTTATTAGCTGTGTATTGCTTTCCCTGAGGATATTCCCTGGGTTGGTATTTTTAGGTGAGTGGTAGTGGGGCTGTTCTTTCATTGCATTGTATTGTGACTACTTGTATTAGGCTACTAGGTTGTTAGGCAAACAATAGTTGCATTGCTTTCTGTAACTATCTTATTTAGTTATTTAAAGTTATGTGCAATAGGGCTTGGCTGAACGTATTTTTGTTTACTTTTTTTTGATGTGGTATAATCAATTATATGAAATCAAATAATAAATCCGGATTAAGGAAATATGATAGGATTTCGATTAGATATCCGGTCAAGATACTATCATGTTCGACTGTCCGTAGGATGGTATAGTCCGGTCCTGGTCTCGTAACCTATAAGTTTTACTGCATGGATTTATGGACTAAGTCCTTATAAAACAGTTTTAGACTTAGTCCTAGAACCTAGGTCCGCTATATGTTGTAAAAGGGCGGATTTGATTTGGGGTGACCAGTACCGCAACCTAAGACACAACAAAAACAAAGGCTACTCGAAAGAAGGCGTGGAAGATTTGGTTCGAGAACCAAGGATCTTACTGTTAGGATCCCCGACGGTCTTTATTATTATAACACTACATTTGTTTTCAGATACATAAAATCGATAGTTATTTATACATTACAGAGAACTTTGAGGCTTTGCTACTACAATTAGAATCTCTAAGCAATTAGAGTATCGGGGGAGGAATCTATGACTAACGATAAGTAATTCATACTCATTTACATGACTATGACTTTAGTTCCCACCATAGAGGCGTCTTACTATTGTTCTTCAATGGAGCTTCGCCTCAAGCCAAACCCGAATTGGCGTTTATTAAATGCTATCACTTTCGATCAATGCGCATTATGCATTTAAAACAGCAGAAATTTGTGAATTTTATTATTTTTAATAAATTTTAATTTGTACATTAGGACTTTTACAGACCTAAGGACCCTAGGTCCTTAAATTTGGACTTGGTCTTTAAAGACCGGGTCCTAAAGTCCTGGACCTAAGGACTTTACAAACCCTAACTGCCCGTGATTACAAACCGTAATTTAAGTTGCTCTTCTTCGTTAAGTGCCGAACATATTTCAGCAAAATTGTTGATATTATGGGAGGCACAATGGCGGAAAAAGTCTACCAAATACTCCTAAATTGTCAAATATCAGCAATTAATCAATTAATAACACATGAGAATCCATTAAATTTCATATAATAACTCACTCTGAGATTGGTATGATAAATTGGATTATCTTTAATATCAGGATCGTCTTCAAAATCTTCAAATTCTCGAGCCTTATTAAACTCTAAAGATATACAAGTCATGCGTAAAAAGTTTGATAAAATATATATACACTTTTACAAATATTACCTGAAAGAACAATGTAATCTTCTGAAGGAGCAAATGGAGAAGGCTCTTCAACATCTTCCCACTCGTCGTCCTATCAAGTAATCAGTAAATTGTAAAATCATGATTGTGAATATCAATTGATATTCTTACCTCATCATCAGTTTCGATAGCCTCCTCATCATCTAAGATATCATCCAATTCAGAACGTTTTAGATTGTCTCCTGCTGCATTTTGGAGATCTGATACAAGTAATTTTATAATCTTTATAGTTGCAGAAATATAAACATATTGGTGCGGATCTAACGAGTAATGTAATAGTTTACTAAAAATTTGTTGAAGACATAACAATGCAAAAAGGCATATAATACTTTGACGAGTCCTTGAGCGTGTCATTATCTCTAAATAACAAATGAAAAATAAAACAATACCCAACACAAAATTTACATGTAAAAAAATGATTATAAAAAACCATTTCATGAGCATGAGTATAAAAATACAATTTACATACTTGAAGATGGCTTTATAATTAAATCACCTTTAACTTTAATATTTTGTATTCTCGGATCACAGGATAGGAAAAGTTCAGACAACGCAATGGCACTGTACAATTATACTCAGGTGAAATAAATAAATATCTTAAATCAACTAGGAAATAATCCATACCTGATTTTTATATTATGATGCCCTTGAAAACTATCATGATTTTCAAGCCACGTATTAAGCAATATATCAAGACCATTTTTCCCATTAATAACCGATTCACTCATAAAGTTGATTACAGTAGATTTCTGGTTAAGAGTCAAATATGCGAAAATCATAAGCAAGGACTAATTATATGTCAAAAGAGAAATGTTAAAAATATTGATCTCATAAAACATAAAACCAGGCGATCAAGAGAAGAAATGAATATTCCAAATTGCAATATAGTCAGAAATGAACCTGTATAAATGTTGCAGTGCGAGCACTTTCCAGTTTCGCTATGACTGCTCTGAGCAATTCTGGAAGGACAGGTAAAAGTCTATTCCCTGCCTATAATAGACATGTAAAAATGTATTAAATGAAATAAATGAAAATTTATGTATTAAGCAAACCGAATACCTTTTCGATAAGCTTAACAACTAAATCGCCAAAAAAAGTCGCTGATTCACTTTCAGTTGGTTGAAGCGACTTTGCGATGAATTGTATCACATAATCTAGGCCCGTTTTTCCGCTCACATCAGTCCTGCAACAATGTAATTTAATAAATTACTTTAATAATACGAGATAAAAAACGAAGTCATTATATTTACCATTCAGCAATTCGTGTGCAATCTTTTTGTACAAAGTATTTTAAGCAAATCTCCCCATTCTGTGCTCAATAAAGAAAGATGGTCAGATCTATTTATCAACGAAAGATCAAATTATTGTAACACAACCTGCAAAATGCTTCGATCTTCGGTTGTCAGCATTAGATGCATTAATGGCGGAAATACATGTTCAATATACGGAGATGGAAGTGGTGAAGGACCACCTTTTACGAGACTTGCAATTAGATCAATAGCTGACTGAAAACATAATACTTTAAGGTTACATAATTGTAAAAAATCAACTTAATTATTTGTAGCATTATTAACATAACTTACAGCGGTCACGGCGGAATCAGTGTTGTTAATTAGTATATTAGCTAAAGGAGGTAAGGCTCTAGCTTGAAACGAAGCGTGAGCATCCATATTGCTTGATAATTCTTCAAAAATGTCAGTGACTAACGGATAAATTGTGTGATCTAAGAACAGAACGCAAATAGTTAAACTTGATGACACGTAATAATGATGATAAATTGATCATAAGATATTGCCTGTAGGATGTTTCATCCAGACATCAATAATTAATGGGCCTATCAAATTTTCGTATCGAGCTGTCACTACATTATTGATCTAACAAAAATAAGTAGATATTATCTATATGATGACCTATCAATAATTTTATAATTAATATATCAAATATACTTTGATAGCCTCTTCAAGTGTTTCCAATACAAGTATTAGTGAGTCTTCAGATACAATATTCAAAAGATTTGCAACGCTTTCGATAATATTGGATTGAAATGGTGCCACATATTGAACATCCAAATGACGACAGAAACTAAAAACAAATTAGTTATCATATAAATCATTTAGGAAAGAAAAGATATACAGTCGAATTTCTTTATAGTCACCCATATAAGTACATCATATAAATTTCTATTTATAAGCACGTCTATTTTAAAACTAGTAACAGAAAAAGCCTCTATATATGGGGTTGAGTCAATAGAAACCAAGCAAATATTTTTTAATAAGTTTTTTTAAAACTTAACCAAATTTAATAAAAAACTTTTTAAACTAATTCTACAAGTTCGTAAAAATTATTTAAAATTTTATTATGCTTGATTTCTATTGAATCGCCCCATATTTTAAGCACATTTTGTAAAAGTTGCTATGATCCCGATGATGTGATTACAAAGAGTTCGACTGTATGTGTATTATATCTTTTAAGTATTATGCATACTTTTGCAATGCTCGTAAAGCAGATACTTTTACAGGTATAGCACCAATCTCTTGAATTGCACGAACAGCTTCGGATACGTAACGCGTTGCAAGTTCACCAGGTAACAGCACTGCATATTGGCTGGCGAATACAAATGCACGCCCTTGAAGGAAAGGGTATTCTTCAAAGAAAAAAAGTCAATAAAATTTAATTGATTCATAATTACAAGATATTGCTTTTAACACCCACCTATTGCAGTCAAATGATCAAAAACCACATGCTCGAACAGCCCAGGTAGGTCAAATTTAACTTTGGAAGCTTCATCTTGTAAAGCTGTTATAAGTTCATTAGAAACAAATCCTACAGCTTTGAGGCAAGCTTCTTGAACCTTCCACCTATATGAAGAATAGCATATGCAGAATTGAAGACCATCAAATACATAGTAGCGAATTCTTAATGAGAATGTTTCAGTAACGGTCATAAGTCAAATAATAATAATTAATAATAATAAATGTGGGGCTGATGCTAAAGTTTTGACTATTTTTTAAACATATCGGCGGATTTGTGGAATCTGATAAATAGAAAAATCCATGAGCCGTAACTCTGGTCAAATAATTTCAAACCTGGCCAAATGATCTGCAAATTTGACCAGAGTTACGGCTCATGGGTTTTTCTATTTATCAAATTCCACAAATCGGTGTATTTTTTCAGTCTTTATATATAATAGTTTGATTAGAGTTTAGAGTTAGGGTCACTAATTAAAATGTATAGATGGGTTTTAGTAGGGTTTATAGATCTAAATAGCGACTTAAAATTTCAGCATCAATCCCCACGATAAATAATGATAATAATAATAAAAATGGAGTAATAATCTAATAATAATGCAATACTAATAATTACGTAATAATGTATTATAATAATAATAATCATGTAATAACAATGTAATGATAATAATAAATAAAAATCCATTGTAATTCAGGAAATGTTCTACACACCATACACTGTCACCTGTAGCGCGAGCTATATTAGATTCTTCAATAAGGTGTTGTGTCGTTTCAGCGAGAGCTTGCAGTGTTTTCTCAGGAAATTTCTCAAGTAAAATCTATAAGAGAATTTGCACTTAGGCATAAGCTTAGTCACATTAGGCTTTTTTTAAAGCTTACTTCTAAAAGATCCCCTGCTGCAACCCTAACTGTAAAGTTGAACGTCTCATCATCATCATCAGCGACGAATTGATTGGCATCTATTAACCAGGCTTCAACCTGTAAAATAATCTGATGTTAAACTTGATATTGAAGCAATTTATACATATCAATAAATTAATAACCTGCTCTTTAGTCATTTGCATATATGATAGAATTATCCAAACAACTTGTTTCAAAAAAGTACTCTCTCCGTTATCTTGTATAAAAAGCGGTTTCGCTGATTTTTTTCTAACGGAAAGACCGACAAATTCAAATTGAGCAAAAAGCAAATATTCAAAGCCGAAAACTTCACCATCAGAATCCTGACAAGTACTAATGAAATCACTTGATGGGCGAATGAAATTATTAATAAATGTGTCACATTAAATGGAAACGCAAGAGTTAAAGATTTAAAACTTCATAGGCAGACGCCACCAGCGTTCTGGCTGACTTAGTCAGTCTGAAAAATTAAAAAAAAAAAAAAACTTCATAGGCAATTAAATTTATCAAACGAAAATGAGGATATCTCTCTCGTTGATGGACCAAGTCCAACCATATTGGTTCTAATAATGCGATCAAATATGAAGAAAGTAACTTCGGAAAATATTTAATAATAAGGTTTAAGCACTAAAAAAGATATTAAATTAATTCAATTCCTAATAATATCACAATAATTTCATTGAACTCATAATTTGATATAAAAATTGGAGACTATCCATGCCTTGACGATTTCCAATTTTAAACCATATTCTTCAAATTCACGTTCCTCATTGTTTGTAGTATGTTGCTTTAAAATGTTGATAAAAATTTGCAGCCAATCTGGTATGACAGGTGCCATTAGAAACGATTCTGTTGCCTCGGGATGTTCTTCTTTACATATAAACAGTATTTCGATGCAATGTCTAAATATTGCTATGGATCGTCCACGTGTTCTATAAGAATAAACCTTTTATAAAACTTGTCAATAACTCACCATACATCTTTGATAATCATTTGTGCAGAAATAGAATTATTCACCTGGTCGGATCGTAAAATTCTTAATAATTCTGGTAATAATATGGGTGCAATTTGAGAAAACTGGACTTCTGTGATATCATGTGTGACAAATTCTTGTAATATACAGTAGTGGTTCAGGATAAGAATATTTGAAATGATGTATTAATTAAAAATTAGGTAAAGTTGACTGTACCAGTCATAACTCTCATCGCACCATGCACTTGCTCTGGTGAGCCAGTTTTTAAAAGCGATATCAATAAGTCTAAGAGGTCAGGCCAATAATCAGGCCAATCATTATGTGCAATTTTTGATATAACATACGCCTAAATATCAATTGTAACAACATTAGTTTTATCTTTCGCATATTAATGAATAAATATAAGCATAAATACCGATGCAACACGGATTTTGTTTGATTGATCTGACAATCCGTTGAATATTACTTCGCGTACAATTGCTTTTACCTACATGATTCATATGAAGAAAATCCTTTAGAAAGATCTATTTAAATATTTTTAATAACTTTGATGGTGAATTTCAAGGTATCAATTAGACAGACCTCTTCGGTAGTTTCTACTCCTGCAAATGTTTCTGAAGTGGAAGACCAATGCGAAATCACGTAATTCTTTAAATTAATTACTGCAGAGTAATTTAAAAAAAAGTTATAGTTAAAGAATTATTTCAAAATCTGCCTTCACAATATTATTTATATTCAAGAGAAAGGATATTTGACGGTATGTGATGTCCACGTCCTGTGAAATAGTCATTTTGGCAAGACTGATGGGATATTCTATATTAATTTGTTACTAAGTTATAGCAAGCGGATTAAAAAGAAACCAGCCAACGCGTCTCAACACGTAATAAATTGCTTCACTTTGACGAACCAGGAGCGTTACTTAGTTCTCGCAGTCTTAGTTCAGCTGACATTCGTATATTAGGATCTGGCGAAAGAACGCGTGAAAGAACTTCATATACGGCTTGGTCCATTTTTTAATTATTTTGCGAAGAAACACTCCCCGGAATACGAAATTTATATTGCGGGCTTGCTAAACTGCGGTTTGAATTTAGGTTTGAGCTGTGACATTGTTAGACCAGCTTGCTTATTGATTGGCTTACTATGTAAACAATATACGATGATCCTCTTAAAGAGAAAAAATTTGCATTTAAAATAATTTGTATTTAAAAAACTCGTGTAACAATTATTTTTTATTTAATAGTGTCAGTATTTAAAATAAAATATTATACTTTATATAGTATACAGTAAGTGGCTTTAAAATTACGTGGGTGCCCAAAATATCAGGTTATAATCCTTAATATAGTAAAACCTTTCTAAATACACGCTCTTGGACTGGGCTATAGACTGGCTATAGTAACTTCACTGATCGACATAAATTGACCAATTATATTTTAAGATCAGGTGTAACGTGAAAATCATGCGTTTTTTTAAAAAACTTTCAAAGAACGGGCTTGGTTAACATTAGGATCTAGGACTTTACCTAAAGCATCTAAAACAGCACTATTGTTTACTTTTTCTGCTTCATCAAATAAGACAATAGGAGCTTTGGTGTTAGTATCAAGCTTGCATTCAGTTTCTCCTTTAGCAGTCATATCTTTAATAAGCTCTTGCAATTCCTTAATTTCTTGTTGTTAAAACTCAGTTTTTTGCTTAATAGCTTCATACTCAGCTAATTGTTCTTTTAACTCTTCAAGATTAACAAAAATGGCTACATTAGTAAAAGCCATGGTCTCAAGCTACATTTAGGAAAGTCTAACTACAGTTCAATAGTTTGATTTAGAGTTCTGCAAGTGCTAGGCATGGTGCCATTAAAACATAGTGCCTGGGCAGCCAGGCACTATATTTAATAGCACCATTCCCGGCACTTGCAGAATCATAGTTTGATCACAAATCACTGTATCCCTTAAGCTGTAGAGTTCATATAACAATTTTAGCTTAAAAATAGCATAAATTTAGTTATGATCTATTTTTTTT